CCCCCTCTTCCTCCTCCTCCCCCTCCTCCTCCTCCTCCTCTTTTCCTGCAGCATCACATGTAGCCCACGGTAGTCTAAAGTTTGCATTGTGGCCTGAGGATGACCTTGAAGTTCTGGTCCTCCTGCCTCCACCCCTGTAGTGTTGGGATTATAGGCATATGCCAGGATGCCTACTGAAATTAATTTTTGAAATAATACTTTAATGTTTTGGAGACTTCATACATTTATACAACCTATTTTGATTGTATCTGTCTACCGCTGCCTCCCTCCAACTCCCCTGGTACCCCTCCCCATCTCCCAACTTCATGTCTCCTTTTTGGTTGTTACTGGGAAATCCCCAAGTCTAGGTAGTGCCCTCCATCTGTGCATGAGTGTGGGGCCATTCACTGGAGGGTGCGTGCTCCCTATGTGCTGCGGGCACTTGAACTCAGGGCTTCATATGTGCTCAACCGATTGAGCTATAACCCCAGCCCTATCATCTAGTTTAAATAATCAACGAACATTAATCATCTAATTCAGAAAACATTATCTCTTCCCCCTCCCCCAATTTTTCCTGTGTCTCAGTCTACTCTGCCTCCCCCCCCCCCACAATAGTAGTCCATACTATGTGGCTTCTCCCCTTTTGCATATTTCTGGCATATTTCTTCCCCTCTTCTCCATCCATACAAAGTCCTCTCATTTCAGGCCCCACTGTCTCCCTTCTAGACTATTACATCAGTTTATTAATTGGCCTCCATGGTTCCCGGTCTTCCCCCTAAGTACCCTCACACAGTCACCAGAGTGTGTTAGTGTTATGATTGTTAAAGCCCTTCACAGACTCCTCGGTGTCCCACAGGATGAAGCACAAACTTCCCAGGACTGCTACCCAGGGTTACTCAGAAAAAGACTTCTCAAGAGTGGGGATAGGAAGGCTTCTTATCTGCGGTAGTTCACACACGATCTGAGGAGCACACTCTCTTATTCTTCTTCAGTTCCAATTCTCTTGTTCTAATTCTGTAGTTCTAAATCTTTGGTTCCGATTCTCTCTAGTTCCAATTCTCTTTAGTTCCATTCTCTCTCACACTACCCTCACGCTACTTCTTTTATCTTTCACACTTCTCTCACACTTCTTCATCTCTCACACTTCTCTCTGCCCATTCAGCTGCATCCCTCACTCAGCACACACACATTCTCACCTCTGCCCAGCTCTTTACCCAGCAGCTCTCTACACAGGCCTACACAGCCCCTTTTCACAGCCAAACTCTGCACAAGTATGACTTACATTTTCAGGGTCACAAAGCATTTCTTGAGTAAACAATCAGAGACAGAGCCAAACTGATACACGTAAGGAATCACTTGGTTTCTCTTAGGCTAAGAAAGTCCCAATGACTGGCCAGTAAGTAACACTTGGCCATGCATGTAGCTCTTTCCCAGACATAAAATGGCATTGAAATCCAGGACTTAATAATAGCAGTTGGCTGAAGCTTGAATGGTAGGGGTACGTGCAGGAAGAGAATTACTGCATGGGATTATGTCTACCTAAGTTGCTTCATGTCTGACCTTGATTTAGCAAGAAACACCTGGGAATTTGTCTTTGTGTATTCTTTGCAGGGGCAGCTAGTCTGTTTTGAATTTGTTCTAAAGTCTAAAATTATCTGTCTTTATGACCAAGAATACTGTTATTTTCCTTTGTCAGTTATGAAAAATATTCTAATATTTCTATTTATCAAAATTATATAGCTTAAGCAGAAGTCATTTTCCTGACTCTCCATGTGTGCCCAATGATGGAATATTTTCACGAAATAAACACACAAGCAGTAGGAAAACACCCATAGCTATTCTTAGGGAAGAAATGCAATGGCACATGAGAGAAATTACAGAGAGGAGCAACCGGTCTTTTAAAGTCAATAACTACATGGCTTTGCCAAATGGGGCTCCTCACCTGGTGGGTCGAACTGTTAAATACTAGTTTCCACCTGCTGCATGCTCCCATAGCCCTCAGCACAGACTCCTTAGCATGGTGTTACAAGCAGCGTTTTACCTGCTTTTTGCCTCCCACCACTTTCCACAGTGCTCACCCCCTTTTGTAAGTCCAAACCGAGCCACTGGTCCTTCCTGAGCACGCTGCAGACTCACTTCAAACCCCTTGACTTTGTTCCGGATTCCCTTTGCCCAAAATACCCTCTCAACTCAAACGGTGTCACAAATCACCAGCTATCCTCAAGAACTGGCTTATCTTCCTGCAGAATCTACCACAATGGTACAGGGGCTCACTCCACCCCAGCACTACCCAATATGCTTTCCATCAGTACAGGTAGTGAGTCCTGTTTTCCTCCGTTGATGTATGCAGCGTCTTCCCTGGTTTGAGCTCTAGGGCAAGGGGAATTGGATCTTTTCATCCTCTACCCCCAGGCATGAAAAGTACTTGTTTATCTAAGATCTGGCACAGAGGTATGAATTTAAAAGAATATTACACATATGCTATGCTATGTATGTGTCCATGGAGACATGAAGAGGGAGTCAGATCCCCCGACACTAGGGTTATAGGTAGCCGTGGGCTGCCTGATATGAGTGTTAGAAACTTAATTTACATCCTTTAGAAGACCAGTATATGTTCTTAACGGCAGAGACATCTCTATCTCTCTAGTCCCGTGAATACTTTTTGTTTTTTAGGGTCCCCCCCCACAAGAGATGATGTTTAATTTTCTGGTTTGGGCTAGGAAAATGGCTCGTCTGGTAAAAGTGCTTCACAAGACTGAAAACCCAAGCTCAATCCCCAGAACCCACATAGAAACTCGATATGGAAACATCCATCCCAGAGCATCTAGGGAGAAATGGAAGGAAGAGGCAAGAGCATCCTCCCAGAGCTCCTGAAATCCGGAGAAACAAGAGAGCTGCTGCTCCCAAGATAAAAGGCTTGAACAGGCTCCCAAAAGTTATCCCTCTGACTTACACACACACACACACACACACACACAGAGAGAGAGAGAGAGAGAGAGAGAGAGAGAGAGAGAGAGAGAGAGAGAGAGAGAAATAAAGTTTTGGTTCTTCTGTTTTTCAGTTGTTTACACTAATCACTTCTTACTAAGTAAGCAGATGTTTATTGGATGAGAATGCCATGGAAACCGTCTGAGAGCAGGAACATGAGGCTCAGTAGAGGTTTCCCATTCACTGCCACAGGCAAGACAGCCTCTTCTTAAGGCTGACATTTCTGCATTCCTGGTTTTCCACTCCCCACCCCATTCTGCCTCCAGCCTTGTATCTGTGCTCATCCCACACCACAGTAATGTGAATGTGACAACAAAGGAAATCCCTGGATAACCCTGAAGCCCACGTGGGTCTTCTTCCTGGAGGAGGTAAGGCACATGGTGACTGGACCTGCATTGGACTTCCTCCCTCTTACTTTGTCTTATGATCAAAGCCTTCCTGTCCCCCTCCTTCAAGGTGTGAGGACAGGGGTGGGAAAAGGACAGAGAAAAGGAAAACCAAGCCCAAGGATGACATCCAAGTCACAGGAGTTGTCTGAGAGCGGCTCACTGATGCCTAGAGGGAGGGCGAGTCATTGGCTGGATTTGAGGGCTCAAGGCCTTGAATCCGTCCACTGCTACCAGAGACTCACCAGCATTGCTCATGTTGCCATGCTCTTCCTGCCGCAGCTTGGCTAGGAACAGAATGTGAACACACAGTGAGCCCTCCACAGTGTTCCATCCCAATTCCGTTCCATCTGGCTCATCTCTGGTGCAGACCGCAGGGTGAAGGTAATCATCTTACTCCATCTCTGGGATCCCCTTGAACAAGCCAGACCCACCCTGTACTTAGTCCACACTCTGGACATTGAAAGCTTCTTTCCAAGTCTGTCTATGGTCTCCTGCCGCCTGAACTTGGCCTCAGCCTCCATAAGCTCTTCAGTCTACTTAGAGCAGTGGTTCTAAGGCTGCAACCCTGTATGTCGTGGTGACCTACAACCATAAAATTATCTTCATTGCTGCTGCATACCTGTAATTTTGTTACTGTTATGAATCCTAATTGTAAATATCTGATATTCAGAATGTCTGATATGTGACCCCTGTGACAGGGTTGTCCAACCCCAAAGGGGTTGCGATCCACAGGTTGAGAAACGTTGACTTGCAGCATCAAGCTTCTGTTATCTCGAATTCCCATCTCTGAAAGTTCATCAGGCACTTAGCTCTTATCATTAATTCTCTGTTTCTCTGTCCCTTTAAATTATTTATCTTTTTCTGATAGGAATTGGACATTAAGATGAAAGACCATCAGGCCTATCTATATACATCAATGACTTAACCAAGAATGTCTCCCGACTCCTGAGAACAGCATTGTTCAGTATCATACCTAAAAGAACTTTCAAGAATGTAAAAGATCTGGCATGATTGGGAGTTTGAGGTCAACCTGGTCTACAGTTCCAGGCCAGCTGAGGCTACATAGTAAGACTCTGCCTAGATAATAATAATAATAATAATAATAATAATAATAATAATAATAGTAGTAGTAGTAGTCGTAGTAGTAGTCGTAGTCATAGTTGTAGTCATAGTCAGCTCCAGAGGAAGGACACTGATATATGACTTCTGGCTCCCACATCCTGGAAACACAGGAAGACATACATTTTTTTTTTTAAATTGAAAACATAAATTCTGTTGCTAGAAAATTTATGGAGCCACTTGGGATACCACATGTTACCAGAGAAATTGGGATCCCCTCTCAAGGTTCTTAGTTTCATCAATAAAAGAATTTAGGACAGACACCGAAAGAAGCCCAGGGACAATGTTATTAGTGTTTAAAAGAAAAAAAGCACAGTTCAGGCAAGTTAGAAATCTCAGCATCTGTCTGGAGGAGGGAGATGGAGAAGAGGAGAGAAAGCCATGCCTGTTTTGAGTTAGACATGGAGCTTCGGCAAACAGCCACACAGCAAATGGGAGGTAGCTCCAGAGAGAGAATGAGAAAGACCAAAGGACCAAAGAACACGTTCTTGGGCTGTGGCTAGCTCCGAAGCAATGGGACAGAGAAGAAGAGGAAGAAGGAGAAGAAGGAGGAGGAGGAGGAGGAGGAGGAGGAGGAGGAGGAGAAGAAGAAGAATTGCACAACTGCACTGGGAGCTGGCTTTCTGGGAAGGAAAAGTACATCATTTCACTAAAGGGGTAGTTATTCCTCCCATCTCTTCATTAAAGGGGTAATTATTCCTCCCATCTCTTTAGCTGGGCTTCAAGAGAAACAGCCTTCCTGTGGGATGGTCTCTGCTGGGTGATTGACAGGGGCAGCTTTATTAACTCTTGGGGTGTTAGGACTCTACCCAGGGCCAAGATAGAACTTGGGTTCCTTTCGACCCGAGTCAGTAGCTTTGCCTTCATGGCCTCAACAGAGCCGTTGATCAAGGCTGTGGTAATATTCCCCTTTCTGAGGAGATAAACCTAAAATCATTTACAAGATGGGTTGTGCTGTGGAATAATGCTTTCATACACTGGTTTAATAAAATGCTGATTGGCCAGTAGCCAGGCAGGAAGTATAGGCAGGATAAGCAGGCAGGGAGAATTCTGGGAATCGGAAGGCTGAGTCAGGAGACACCAGTTCGCTGTCCAGAGAGCAGCATGTAATGGCACACAGGTAATTTCATGGAAAATGTGGCAACATATAGATTAACAAAAATGGGCTGAGTTTAAGTGTAAGAGCTAATCAGTGGTAGGCCTGAGCTAATGGCCGAGCAGTTTTAATTACTATAATCCTCTGTGTGTTTACTTGCAGGACCGGCAGGTGAGAGAGATTTGTCTGGACCGTGGGCCAGGCAGGACACAGGAAAACTTTCAGCTACAGGGTTGAAATTAGGGAATGAATATAATCCATTTTCTCCATGAAGACCCAATTCTAAAGCTGTTCACCAGAAGGATTGGTATCTAAACTGGGGTTCAGTCCTGTTCCCATATTTAGCAGAAATGCTTATTTCGGGGAGGAGATCTCAAGGACTGTGGAACCAGAGCCCTGTCCTGCAATCCTGGCTTCCAGCAAGGACTTTCCTCGAACTGTTGCTTCAGGATCCCTGCCCTACATGTCCCCTTTCCCTACATGTCCCCTTTCTCCCGCCTCCTCTCATTCATCATCACCAGGACCTTTCCATGGTAATTTTGATGCTAAGGGTTGGGATGAAACCCAGGAGTCCATCTTATTTACAAGTACCCTAGATTATCATTGCCATCAGGCAAATAAGGGAAATAGTGGTTTATGAATAAAAAGCTGAGTTCACATCTCAGCTCTGCTATTTACTAGGTGTGTTTTGTACCTGGTCCTACACACAATGATTTCCCAAATTCCAGGCTTCTCCTTTACTGCCTGGAAACGACAGTAGGTTCTCAGCAAATACTAGGAAGAAAATTCATAACAAATGCTTGACAAAATACTGCAAGCCTTTTGCAAAAGGAAAAAATATTTTTCTTTAAAGTCTGAGTTAAGGCTGAAAACCAGACGAGGGTCCTGATTCTTGCCCTCTTCTAGGACGGCTCATGTTAGCCTTTTGTCTGTCGGCTCACCCACTCAACACATATTCCTTGAGCACTCCATTTGACAGAAACTTTCCAACATGTTTTGGATTCACCAATGAAAAGAACAGTCAAAAATACCTTCCATCACAGAGCTATATTCTCCATAATGATTTTATTAGACCCTTTATGCCACCCCCCCACCCTCCCAAGGAAACTCCATAATCAGTCATCACTAAAATAACACTTGGTGGGATCGTTCTCATGTCTACACTGCATAGCTGCTTCTTACTATAATCACGTGATTCTGTTTTTGTCAGTTTGCTCCACCTTTCCATCGAAATCAGAGCCAGTTCTCAACTACGGCATGTTCTCCCAGCATGCTCCCCGGCTCTGCTACCACTGCTGGCTTATTACCATTGAGTACTCATTGCTAACGGCGCCACCCTTGGCGTCTCCTCTCTAATAAACGCTCTAGGTCATGCCAGTGGTTGCTGAGTCTAGGATAGATGTCCTTGTCCAAGGACCCTCCCTCCTTGAGCTAAGAGAGGAGATGTTTGATTCCCTCTGGCATCCATAGCACGAAACAGTTCCTTAAAACCCATCCAATTATTCTTCACATGAATTAGAAGGGACTTTCAGAGACTAAATAACCAAGAGGTTTCACACACACACACACACACACACACACACACACACACACACACAAAGATCTTATCAATTTAATTCTGTGCTTATTTGTTGTGGGAGCCCACAACTGACTCAGTTTCCCAGTTTGGATCTGAGGTCTATTCTGAATCAATTGAGTTCAGGCTTGCTTGCTCCAGAGCTGTGAGAAAGTCCTGATTAGCCCACAGGAAGGAACACACTGTCTAGCTAGATGCAGGCTGCTGATGCCAGACGGAGGTACATCGAGATAGAAAACGAAACTGCCTGCTCCTTGATGCAGGCAGGATAGACAGTGGTTGGATGCCTGTGCTGTGCATTGTTCTACCTCTGTCCTTCAAAAACTGTATATAAGCTGGGCGTGAAATAAACTCGGGGCTGTCCGGCATTGACCGGCAGACCTCTCGACTCTTTTCTGTCGTCTTCATTGTCTCTACAATCCGTGCATCTCTAACCCAGCTGGTAACCAGCCGACTGTCAGCAGGCCCCGACAATTTGTGTCCACACATCTATCAGGAAACAGACCAGCACCATGTTTCTGCATCTTTTCACATTTGATTATGTGTTTTTCCTGGCATCTTCCTGTCCCTTATTTGTTTATCTACTATCTACTTATTTATTTATCTATTTATTTATTTATTCTTCTCTCATATATTGCATCAGCAGTGTCCTCCACCCCCACCCCCAGCAGATCTCCTCCTCCTCTTTTCCCTTCAAGAAAGGGCAGGCCTTTCAGGGATATCAACCAAACATGGCATTTCAAGTTATAATATAACTATGCATACCTCCTCATATTAAGGCTGGGCAAAGCAACCCAGTGGGAGGAAAAGGGTCTCAGAGTAGGCAAAAGAGTCAGAGACAGCTCCCACTCTCACTGCTAGGTAGTTCAATACCAATTGGAGAGCAAGTGCCTTTCCAGCTCACGTGAAGATGGTGCCCTCTGGTGGAAGGTAAGAAACACTACACCATTATCTTGAAACCTCTGTTATGTAGTTTTGCTTTCTTTGTTGATTGGGATTCATTAATGCTCTTAGCAACTGTGACAAGAGAAGTTCAGAAAGTTCCCTGTCAGGAGTGGAGAGATGGCTCAGTGGTTAAGGGCACTTAGTGTTCTTCCAAAGGACCCGAGTTCAGTAGCCAGCACCTCTATCAGGTGGCTCCTAACTCCAGGGGCTCTGAGGCCTCCAGTCTCCTCAGACACCTGCATTTCCATGCACACATTTAGACATAACTAAAAATAATAATAATAAAAAAGAAATAAAGATCTTTGTCTTCCAAATAGCAAGCCAACCTATTTCTCCCATCATTCTGTCAGGCTCCAACTACAATTCTTTGTGGCTTTGACATTCATGTGTGAAGAGACACAGCAGTACCTGGAAGCAGCGATCAGCCACAAGAGATGGGCTTGTCAGTGTTTATCAGAACGTCAAAGTGTTCAGTGTTGGACAAGCCCAAGCATCGACTGGTTTTGGTATCTCGTTCACCTTAGCAGAGGTGGTATGTGAAGTACTAATATTTAAGCCTCACCTTTCAACTTTCACGTTAAGACTTTCCCCCTGTTTAGTCAAAGACATCACCTTTGAATATCTCTGAGACACGAGTAAGCACAGGATTAAGCTCATGAGATCTCTCTCTCTCTCTCTCTCTCTCTCTCTCTCTCTCTCTCATGTGTGCGTGCACGCGCGTGCATGTGCATGTAATGAGATCAAATTACAATTACAGTGAAAAGGGTTCATTTTAAATGAAAACAGAAATCCAAAATGCTTTTGTGTAGTACTAGAGTTTGAACTCAGGGCCTTGCGCACGCTGGGCAAGGACTCTACCACTGAGCTACACCCTTAGCTCCCTCCCCCCATTTTTAAAATGGGGCTCACTGCATAGCTCAAACTATCATTTGCTTTGTGGTTGCTTTGGGGGTGTGTTTCGTGTAGCTCAGGTTGCTCTTGATCTCCTGATTCTCTTTCATTCACTCCCCATTGCTAAGATTACAGATGTGTACCACCATGCCCTTGACCATGGAAACATCCTGCCTCTGCCTCCTCAGTGCTGGAATGACAAGGATGTACCACCGTGTCTGGCTTTGACATATGCTAATAAAAGGGGCAAGAAACAGGAGTGGGCAGAAACAGGAGCTGTGCTACGTCCATAGGAAAATGTGTGGAAGAAAAGTGGGTTCTGAGCCCAGCACCCTAACCTCAAGATACCAGAGGAGGCACAAGGCTCAAAGACTGAACCGAAGCCTGGAAGGTCATCCATCCATGGTGTGGAGGAGAAACAAGGGGCTAGGACTTGGCTGTGCGAGTTGGGAAAAGGCAGAACCTTTTTAGGATGCTGTGATGCCCCAATGGCCCCAGGACTAGTGTATGGGAACTGGGTTTCTTGAGGCATACCTTCCTTCCACACCAGGGCCCCCTCCCCTCCAGCAGAGAGGGACATTTCAGCCTAATGATCCTACTGATGCAGGAAAAGCCACTGTGGATTGTTGGCCACGTGCTAGACGTCTAAGTGGTTCTGGAAGTCACTTCTCCTCTTGGCAATGGCTCAGACTTCTCATGAGGCCCCCAAACAGGAGGAGGAGGGCTCCTGACCACCCGATAACAACTTACTTACTCTGAACACACCTTGACTTCCAAACAAGAAAATTAACAAGGAAGAATGAGTCAGAAATAGAGGGCATATCTAGTTCTCCTAGAAACTAGAATAAGAAATAAATAAATAATAAGGAGGATGACTTGGAGCATGCCTTCTCCAGGCTCACTTTGTCCTAACTTAGACGGTTTACTCTCCATCTGGAGGGAGGCACATTCTTCATACCATAGCTCCCTAGAGCTTTAGCTAAGCTCGAATTTCACTCCCCCGGCACCCAGCTGTAGGATTATGGAATGCAGCACGTAGCTGCCTTAGCCCTTTGAATGACATTCACCAACAGGATTGTTGCGAGGCATTAGACTTTATTATCCATGGGAACCAGAAAGGGCTGGGGCCCGGCAGGTAAGTCTACTATTTGGAAACTGATGGAGATGGGTCCAGGGCAATGGGAGGAGACGCTGAGGAGGAGAACCCCACCATACTTGGGGAGGCCCCTGTGGCCTTCTCCCATGTGTGGGGGCTACTGCGTCCTACCAGACCCTGCAGAGGAAGCCGCTGTTCACAAGGGTCTGACTTCCAGTCAGATGAATCAGAGTGGTCAGAGGAAAGAACCAGGACCAGTTCTGAGCTTCACATAGCCAAATCGACAGCCTGGGTCTGGAATGAGCATCCTAGAAGTCCAGGTTAAGAAACGATGAGGAGATAGGACGGGCTCAGTGTGATTAAGTAAAAGATATTTATGGAAAGTTCCAAAGACAGGATTTCATAAATTTGCTGTGTTCTCATGGAGGGGGGTGAGGGGTGCAGAGTGACGGATGCAAAGAGGCGCAGGGCAAGCGGCTGCTAGGGTTGGCGGTGGGAATGGGAGAGGAACGCAGGGAACCGAGAGTGAAGGTCAGAGCGTGCCTTTTTTGTTTCATTCATCTTTCTTTGCACCCTTCAGCCAATTAGATGCAGAGAAGCCAGAGGGGAGAGAAGGTATACCCATCCCACCACAGTCTGCTGTCTCAAGGTGGGGCGCCTCTGAAGGATGTCTGAGCCTCCTTTCCGGCAGCTTGCTTCTCACGCCACTTCTCATCCAGATGTCCTGGGAGCACGCAGGCAACGGGAAACCCCTTGGGCGCGGCCAGGTTCAGGCATCAGCCCCGAGGTAACAATGCCACACAACGGAGACGCCGTAGATCCAGATCATCACGAGGGCACTGAAGGCCACGTGCCAGCAGAAGAAAGTGGTGGCGAACGCCAGGTCGTTTTTGTCGTCGTCCATCCATTTGTAGCCGGAGATGGGTTTGTAGAGCACGAAGCCTATCTGCATCAGCCAGGAGCCCGTGACGAGGTATAGAAAGGCCTTCAGCACCCAGATCAGCAGCACATCGGGAGCCCACAGCTCCGCCGTCACCACGAGGGTCAGCAGAAACAGGGCCTGGACGAGCAGCGCGTGGGTCTGCAGCTCCACTCCTTCAACGTCCTGCATGTGAGACACCATCAGGGGCAAAAGGAGACACATGCTCAATGCTTGGGCACCTTGCTCCAGCACTACGCACCTCGTGGGCAGCAGGTTCTGGCTGACCACGTCCACACAGCCACTCAGAAAGAAGGACATGTAGAGAGTGAGGTGCTGCCACTGTTTGCGGTACATGAAGTTTCTCTGGTGATACATCTTGCTGATCAGTACCACCTGCCAATGAATGCTATTCAACTCTTGCGCTACTAAAATGCAAGCACTCAGTATCTTCAGAAAGCCAATATAATACATTTGCCGTAACCTCGCCCATCTCCCTTTGCTCCAAGGAGGGTGTGGTGGGTATTGGACAGGGGAGTTGCATGTCACAGCCCTGGAGAGAAGTCCTGCATGATAAAGTCCATAGAGGAATAAGGACAGGCCAGGGTACAGATGGCCCTCAAACCCTCCCATGGATTCCAAGGCAGGTGTGATCAAAGGCAGAAGCGAAAGCAAATGGCCACTTGCTCAGGGCTCGAAGACATTGAGGGAGCCTCCTGAAGGTTACTTATAACCTCTACCCATCCCACTGCACCCACTTGAAGGAGGGAAATGGGTTTGGAGAAAGCCCAAACTCAGGGTGGGGTGGGTGTCATGGTTTCCGTTATGGTCTTCTGCTCTGGTTCACGGATAACTGGCTAACCATGGACAAACAATGAAGTCAGTGTGTCTCCAGCACAGTGCTTGGGTATCAGCTGTTCTCACCTCCTATGACCTGGCCTTCTGGCTCTCTGTCCACCTGTCCCTTGGTCCCTTCGCTACCTTCCTCACTTTCTTCCTGTCTTGGTCCACTCAGGATGCAAAATACTGCGAGTAATACCAAGGATTAGACCACGTGGCTTATGCACAACAGAAAGTATCTCATTTCTGGAGGCTGGATGTTCAAAATGAAGATGCTAGAAGATTCAATGTCTGGTGAGGCATGCTTCCCCACAAACAGCACTTTCTTACTGTGTTCTCACATTTTCCAACATCAAGCCTGCTCTCCAGGGTCTCTTTAATTGGGGGTACTGCCTATACCATTTATAAAGATTTTGCCCTCATGACCCAATTACCTCCCGAGAGGCCTCATTTCTTAATCTTGTATTAACATATGAATTTAAAAATCATTTATTAGCACAGAATAATTTTACACAGTATGGGTTTCATTATAACGTCTTCATACATCTAACGTTTCAATAATGTTTACCCCCATTGCTCTCTTCCGGCTTCCTCTCCCTTGGGCCGATCTCCCTTTGCCCAGCTAGCTTCATCTCTCCTTTCATCTCTTCCTGTGTGTGTGGCCCAGTGAGTTTCTTTAGGATTGTTTATGGCATGTGGGGATTGCTTCACAGGAGCATGAGCACCTATCAGTGGCCTTTGGGTTTATCTGTTGATAAACTGTATTTTGTTGCTATTAAGAATGTTCCATTTTAGCCAGGCGATCATGGCGCAGGCCTTTAATCCCAACACTCAGGAGGCAGAGTCAGGTGGATCCCTGTAAGTTAAGTTCCAGGACAGCCAAGGCTACACAGAGAAACCCTGGAGAGAGAGAGAGAGAGAGAGAGAGAGAGAGACAGAGAGAGAGAGAGAGAGAGAGAGAGAGAGAGAGAGAATGTTTTATTTGATAACTGTTGCTGATATGAAAACTATAATTTCCTGTTAATATTCATGTTAATTATCTTGTTGAATTGCCACTGTTCTAATTTTCAATAATTTAATATCAAAATGTAAACAACAGTTAATATCTAATAAATCTGTTTTAGAGCAAGAGAGAGAGAAAAAACCTCTCCCTCAAAATATTTGTTCTAGGGCATAAGCTTTCTCTCTCTCTCTTTTTCCTTTCATTCATCCATATATAATTCACTGGAGAAAGAGCTACGATAAACGGAATTTTCCTCCCACCCAGTCCTCAGCCCATTGCTCACCACACTCTAAGCAATTGCTCTACTGCTGAGCTACGTGCCCGGCCCAAGAATCCAATGCCTTATGTTACTTGAATGGGATCGCTTCCGCCAATATTGATTTGAGGAAAGTGCTGGCAGCTTGCCAGCCACTTTTTTAAATGTTTTCTTTTTCCACTTCAGTCTTGATGCTCAGCCCAGACTGACCTTGAACTCTTGATGTACCTACCTGTTTTAGATACCCATGTGCTGGGTTTCCTGGCAGGCGCCATCTTGCCCAGCTCCTCACAACCTACTACTAGTCAACATGTTTTCCTTTCCAAATAACTTTCTGGCCAGTTTCTTCTGCTTCATCCCTACTGACTTCCCTTGTTTGGGCATCAACAACTCTGTATCACTAAAACATCTCTCAATCAGATTCAAAGCCTCCTCTGTTCTTACCTCCACTACAGCCAGGTGAGCATTGAGGAAAGAAAGGTAATCATGGCAGCGGCTGATCTGGAGTCTCCAGTGGCATCCCATGGCTTCACAGGTAAGATCGGCACCTGGTGCTTTGGCTGAGTCTCATTGCCAATCCCTTTTCATGGGTGTCTGAAGCTCTAGGTCAGCTTGTTCATTTCTGTCCCTAATTCATCCTGTGTTTGGGAAGCTCCTCTTCCTCATTTGTCCTCTAAGGCTCACCTTCAGGCACTGTGTGTGTTTATCCTCTTGGGCTCTTTAGAAGCTAACCTATGTCTGGAGGTGCTCATGAATGATGTAAGTACGTCATCAGGTGTGAGCATATGGCCTCTACCATAAAATACCTCGTAGCACAGTTAGAGAGACAAAAAAGACACATGCATATGAAAACTGACTGACGTGGGGAAGGCTGGCTAACCGCGGTCCAAAAACACTGATACCGGAAAGGCAAGAACGTATCTGACTTCGCCTAATGTTGCCTAAGCAGAAGTGCCTTATTCAGGAGAAAATAAATTTTGTACCCTAGAAGTGAGCTCTTTTCATGGAAGAGACAACTTGTCAAGCTGTTCCTTCATCTGCTCTAATCCTTCTATGGGACCATCCACTTATTTATGTTCCAAGGCAGTGTGGATGGAAGGGACTATTTAAGTTATCTCTGCAATCAAAAGGACAAAGCTCAGACGAATTTAAATCTCTCAGTCAGCTTTTGTGAGTCTAGAATTGGGGAACATCTCGTTCTATAAAGTAGCAGACAAAGGGGCCGAGGGCAGCAGAAATGAACAAAAATGGGCTTAGTCATTGCCTTGTCATTTTCTTTGTGAACTTCAGAGAGAAAACCATTCATTATCCTGTTGGCTTACATTGGCAGCATTTGGCAATTATCTCTCCAGATCTCTTGGGATGTCAGACAAGTTGATGGCATGGGACTTCATTGTGGGTTGACTTCATTTTGGCTTGGCCTGTTGGGCCTGGTGTACCAGCTCAGTCCAAACCAGTGGCCTCCTATAAATTACATTGAATGGCCGTCACCTTGACCCAGGGTTTGAGGAGGAGGAAAGTGTGTGGGTGTAGGGGACAGGGGTTCTCCTAAGCAGTCATGAGTATTCAGCCACTGGAAAAGCATCCTTCAATGTTGACCAATAAGTCTACTACCAGCCAGTCCCTTTGGAACATAAATAAAGTAATGCGGTAGGGTTTCTGGATCTGTAAAGCAACTGTGCTGATTTTGCTTAAAACTTACCCTTGCCCTTGTGGACCCAATCCTGCCCCCAGTCTGTCTTTCTGCCATTCCAGCTGTAAGAACACTGGTGCTGTTCAGTAATATATTTTCTTTAAAAAAGGAATGCCCCAGCATCCTTGGCCCTTCCGCTGCAGCTCGGCAAAGATATACGAGTCACCTGCCATTAGCCAGAACTGTGCTGGCAGCTGGTAGTAGATACAGAAGATGTTCCACTTGCCTTTAAAGGAACTCAAAGCTGTAACCCCACCACTCAAAGTGGTCCATAGGCCTCCAGTGTCAATATCACCCAGGGTGTGTGAGATATGTAGAATCACAGACCTGTTGAATCCAAACCTGTATTTGACCAAGTTCTCCAGTTGATTTGGGTGCATACATAATACATTTGAAAAGCATTGGTTTGTACTTAATTAAATTAGTCTTGATTTAGATTTTATGGTGGTGATGTAGTCGGAACATATAAATGTGACTGATGATCTTTGCAAAGCATTTGAAGATTGTTTGGAAATTGGAGTTGAACTGATGGGTGTCTGGTAAATGGGGAGCGGTTAGGGTGGGGGTTTTCCGGTGGTGAGGGTTGTTGGGGGTGGTGCAGGGGCAACAGATCGCATTGGCAGAACAGGACAAAAGTCTTTTAAGGGCTCTCACATCTCTCTCCGGCATAGATAGCCCTGCTCAACCTGCCCACATGTCCTTGGCACTGACCTATGTGGTAAGTCCCTCCAGGCCCTTGTCACCTGACTTCCTCTCTTGTTGTCCACTGGTGTGTGGACAAGGAGAAGCTTCCCAGCTCCTCACCCTCGGTGACCCCTCAGGGAGAAGGGGCTAATGCTTGCAATCAGCAAAGGGTACCGAGTCTCAGATCTCATGCCAGGCCATCTGGTCTCTGGCAGCAGCTCTGAAGATGTGGTAAGATGTGGGTGCAGGATCCACGTGTATTCCAGGTAGTCCAAACAGCCTATGGGGAGAAGGTTTCCTCTCATGCAGACCATAAGGGAAATTGGCTCTAGAGAAGGTAGAAACCCAGTGAAAAAGTTGGGAAAGGGACCCCGGCCTGGGCTCTTGTGTCCCTTCCAGGCCCGAGAGCCTGGAGTTCTGGCATCATCTAGACAATTTGGGAAAGGTCTGCCATTTTTGTCTTTTTCAAAGTACTTACATTTCCTCTGAATTCACTTACCAGTGTCAAAACCAAAACATTCTTCTTGGGGACATGATCTCCATCCACATCACAAAGGCAGTGTTTACATTGGGGTGTTCATCATGGTTACCGCTGGGGGAAAAGTCTATTGGCTAATGATGTTTGTTATTAACTATCTTGTGAGCAAATCTATCACTTTTCTTCATAAAACAAAAAAGAAAAAAAATCTACTGTAGTGTTTGGAAACTGAGTATGTTCTGGCCAAGTGTTCTGATTCATGTCTTTGAAGAGTCTGATACTAGGAAAGAAGAAATGAAAAGTTCCACAATGAAGTGTTTTATTAATAATTTTAACATTTCACAAAGCTAAACACTTTATAGGAAATACCTCATTTGTTCCGCACAAATCGATGAGATAACTCATTTTCTGTTATTTGGGTTATAAATAATAGGAAACCCTGATCTCATTGACTTGAAGTTTTTTTGTTTTGTTTGTTTGTTTTTTGAGACAGGGTCCCTCTATATAGCCCTGGCTGTCCTGGAACTTGCTTTGATTGGCCTCAAACTCAGAGATCCGTCTGGCTTTGCCTCCTGGGGGATTGAAGGTGTGTACCACCACAGCCCTTCTAGAACTTTAAAAAAAAAATTTACTTTAATCTAACAAGCGTTCCAGAGGAAACCTACCACTTGAGCTGGTGAATCTGGTTGGAGAAATGATTAGGATCCAGGTTATTTCTAGTTTGTTTTCCTCAGCC